GGATTACAGGCAACTGCCACCATGCCCAGCTAATTTTTCTATTTTTAGTAGAGATGGGGGTTTCACCATGCTGGCCAGGCTGGCCTCGAAATCCTGACCTCAAGTGATCCACCTGCCTCGACCTTCCAAAGTGCTGGGATTACAGGCATGCACCACTTTGCCCAGCTGTGTGTTGTTTTAAGACACTTATTTTGTGGTACTTTGTTATGAAGCCCTAAGATGAATCCAGGTGGTGGTGGTCTCTTTCTCCAAAATAAACATGTAAGAGACCAGCACAAAAAATACAAAAAATCTGTTAAACACATAATGTCTAGCTGTATCCCTTTTTGCGATGCTGGCAGCCACTGGTGATTAATTCTATTCTTCTTATTTATTAGCCAGAATACTTCCATAAAAAGAAATATCCCTCATGTATTATTTGAATAGTCAGTGGTTGTTTGTGTTGAAAACAGTATAAATGCTTGTTTATTAAAAATTTTTCTTATATTTATCTGTCTTTTTAAAATCACTAAAGGACTGGCTTGCTAGCATCTTCCAACAGTAACTAATTAACTGAGTTTTGTTTTGTTCTGTTTTATCTTTTTGGTGCAAAATGTTCCAGGCTCTTCCTGTACACTTCTTGACCCAGACCTTGAATTAGCCATCTCTCCAAGGAGACCTGTTCGTCTCTGTGGGAAATCGTGTTTCAGTGTTCCAATCTGAACCTTGCCCACAACCTTGTCTTTCAAATTACAAACTGGCCCATCTTTCTGCCTCTCAGTCTCCTTTATCCTGCTATATTTTTCCATAGTAATGCTGTCCTCCTAACGTATTACATATCACTTACACACTACACTTTATTGCATCTGAAGTGCCGCAGAATTAGAGCCATTTTGTTATTGTTGCTGTTCACTTATGAATCCCCGGTACCTAGAACACTGCCTGGCCCATATGTAGTATTCAATAGATATTTGCTGAATGGCTGAATTGCACAGGCTTAGACTGGACTGGACCATACATTTGATCTCATGTATGCCAAAGATACCGGCCATAGTAGAAGGAGGAGGTCTTTTGTGAGGGCAGGTTTTGAAATACCAATTCTATGTCTTTAACGATTATTGAATTGTTTCAGATTTTCCATTTTTCCTTACTTCAATTCTAGTATTTACTCTATTTAGGTTTTCAAATTTATTTCTATAAAGTCTTCACAGTATTCTCTTGTTATAGAAAATTTCAAAAATACACAGAAGTAAAAGAGTGTAATGAACCCCACGTACCCAGCACCAACATACGGGCACTGTAGTTGCTCCTATTTCCACCCAATCCCTCTCATCCCCTTGGATTCTTTTTTCCTTCCTTCCTTCCTTCCTTCCTCCCTCCCTTCCTTCCTTCCTCCCTCCCTCCCTCCCTCCCTCCTTCCCTTTCTTCCTTCCTTCCTTTCCCTCCCTCCCTCCCTCTCTCTTTCTTTCTTTCTTTCTCTTCCTTCCTCCCTCCCTC